ATATTATAGATCTATTTTATAAAATTAAAGTTTAATATTTATTATAATTTTTTTATAAATCTGATTTAACTTTTTAAAAATTTGATTTAATCTTTCTAAAATCTGGTTTAATTTATTAATTTATTTAAAAGTTTATTTATATTAATAATTTTAATTAGGTTAATAAACTTAATTTTTATAAATTAATAAATTTATTTTTAAATATATCATTATTTTCTAATTTGTGCGATAAAATATAATTTACTTAATATTATTAAAATTTAAAATTTAAAATATATACATGTCACAAGAATAAAAGTGAATTATTTTATATTATAAAGATAATTCATGCATAGTCATATATGTTAGTCTATACTCATGCGCAGATTATAAGTCTATAAATTTATAATGAAAAAAATAATCATACAAACAAATATTTTAAATATTTTTTATATCTAATTCATTATTTTCTAATTTGTGCGATAAAATATAATTTACTTAATATTATTAAAATTTAAAATTTAAAATATATACATGTCACAAGAATAAAAGTGAATTATTTTATATTATAAAGTTTGCTTTTAATTCCTGTAAAAGAATGGTTTTTATTATTCTAAAATCTAGAACTACAGTTTTTAATTTTTACTATTACGTGATATTTTTAAATTATTTGTGTTTAATAGAAGGTTAAGTAATCACATCAAATGGTATCTACAATTATTTATGATACTTTGTTAGCGTATGACAGCTCTACAAATTTTATAAATTTTTAGGATAAATGTTATGTATCTACCCTCAAATAATAATTAAGATTCAAAAATAGTAATTTTAGATTTTATTGAGATGAAAATTAAAAGAGATTTTTCAGAGATCATATCAAAATTTGTTCATTTTATAAAAAATAAAAATATTATTTACATATTTTAGAAAGATAAGAAATATATAAATAAAAAAATTATAGAAACCAAAGTTGAAATTCGCACATTTTGCTTAGATAATCCATTTTAAAAAAAACTCAATTATTATTTTTTTTATAAAAAAGTACAACTCATCATAATCTAATTAGTTTCGAGCCCAAAGATGACTCTTGAATAAATTATGTGTTAGCCCAAATATGAAATTTAAGAATGAAGTATCAAATCATTTCAGATTAATATAAAATTTTATATATATGATCTAAGAGTAAAAAAAATTTAATTTAAGAGTTCATTTATAAAATTTATATTTAATATAAAATTATTGAGCATTGTTTGAGGGGATATTTTATAAGTGTTATTTTTATAAGGATTAAGTCCTCATGGTTTTATTTTTTGTCATCACCCAAAAGGTCTTGCTTACATTGGAATATGAGTATATTTTATAAATTGTTATTTTTTCTCTTATTTTATCGTGAAACTTGTTTGTATCTCAATATATCGTGAGACTTATTTTATAAGTGTTTTGTGTACACTAGAGTCTACTCCACTGTATTATTTGGAGGATAAGTATATTTTGAATTGTAGTTACCCATTACTCTAGTTTGCCTAACAATATCTCATTGGCAGACATAAACAATCATTCCATACATTTTTGCTTCTTTTGACTAAAAATAATTTTAGTCAATTAAAAGATGCACTTCCAATTAAGGTTATCCATTAGTTTGTATAGCTACAAGAAGGTTATTATATATATATAT